GATCAGACTATGAGAGGGACGCCATGTGCCTGGAAGTTCTGACAGGCTGTGCCTTTCACCTTTGTCCCCAAAGGTTTGTGCCAGTCCAGCTCCCCTTGTCTGGGGCCTGATTCTGGGTTCAGCCAAGAGAAGCAGTTTGACCAGGTCTGGGCTGCAGTGTTACTCATAGGACTCACATGTGGTTTTAATCCTGCCCTCTGAAGATGTGCTTATGTATTCCCTCTCACTCCAGCCATGGTTTTGTTATGAAAACTATCTAACTGACCTTAAAAAAATGGAACAGAAACTGCAAATCGCAAAATCTCTGCCAATCTACTCAGAGTGTGAGTAGTGATGAATCAGTGATCAGCCAGTGAGGGCTGCTTGCAGGAGAGGGCAGAGGTCGGGGGACAGAACAGAAGGGGTTGTCACACCTTCAGTAATGACTCCAGAATCGTAGCCATCCCCCCTACACACACAGACCTCATGCGGCTTCCCTCTGCTCCTTCTCCCACCCAGGAAACTCCCACCAAGAAACACTTAACAGGTGCTTTGTGATTCTGTCTCTTGTGGTGATGGGGAGAGGAACATGCACTCTCTGTCTTCTCTCTACCCTCCCTGCCTGCATGTTATTCCATCCTCCACAGCAGGTCAGTGGAGGACCAAGTTTTTGTCATTTTTGTCTGACATCTGTGAGTTGAGAAGAGATGGTTACATCTGCCTCTGCCAGCTGGCTCCTGTGTCGCAGCTGGTCGGAGGCTTAGTTGTTGAGCCTGGATGTCGAGTTTAGAGCAGGGCATTCTGGGAGGCGGTCTGGGGAAGGGAGAGCTGGTGCCCAAGAGTGAGGCAAAGTCCTGACTGGTTTTCCCAGTCAGAAGCGCATTCCTTTCCCTGTGACCCTTTAGGAATTAGAAAAAGTTTTCTGCTGGCAGTTATGGTACAAAGTGTAATTGAGTCTTTTTCTCCGGATGTCTTCATTTCTCAAACTGTTTCTGTGCAGAGGTCACCAATGTCTGTTGGAATTTTTCCAAAAAGCTCTTCTCAAAGGACCTCTCTGGTTTCCCTTTGACAGAAGATGTCCTCCATACCATCTGCCCATTTCAGGGGGAAACTGGTTCCTGGGACGTATCTGTGACCAGGTTGTGCAATCATCATCATCACAGCCTGAGCCCCATCTGTAGTGACACCACTCTGCCCTTACTAGTCAAGGGAAGGACACTATGCTTCATTACTAAACTGCCTTACTGTTTTCTGACCAAGGGCCCACTTTGGGCCCACACTGAGCCCACGAGAAATCACCAAAGGATCTGTATTAGTTAGGGTTTGCTGTGATAATGCTGTGTAGGAAACAACCTCACAATCACAGTGATTGACAATGTACATCCTTCTCTTGGTTACAAGGCTGTGGGTTAGCTGGGCCCAGCGGGTATGGCTGGATTGAGTCCAGGCTGGGCACTGGGTACACGTCTGCTCCAGGGGCCTTGTCTGGGACGTGCTCCTCTCATGGTGGAGGACGAGTTTGCAGGGAGGCACATCACATCACACAAGCACGTTTAGAACCTGCAGTAGGACGTGGCATTGGTTACGTCCACTTACATCCTGTTAGCAAAAGCAAGTCACATGACTGAAGTCAAAGATGGGGTGGGGAAGTGTAGTCCATCTTCAATGACCACGGCAAGGTGAGGGGGAAGGAAGAAGAGTGAATAAATGATTCCATCAATGACACTGTCTTTCACTTCATGTTTAGGAGCTGCTTCCACCCTGTATGAAGACTATGATGGGGAGCTTGGTGGTGGCTCCTGTCCCCAACCTGGCACAGCCCCCAGCTTCTCAGTGGGCTGGGCTCTTTACTGTTCTCCTGTATCCCCTTCCTCCAGTTGTTAGGGATCCCAGACCCCACCCTTTTTGAAATCTCAGTGTTTTTCTTTTGGCCCCTCTGCGTATTTCCTTCCTCCTCAGCTTCCCACACTCTTTTAAGCCAAGTGATTCCTTCCTCTTCCATCCTGGTTATCTTTGGATGGAGCCTCTGTAAGGCTTTCTCACTGCCCAGGTGGCCCCCTCCTGACTTACACATGTGGTTTTATGATGAAAGAATTTCTCTTTCTGCCTCTGCCTTGAGCTGTGCTCCCAAATATCCCCAGTAAAATAGGCCAAAACCCAGGAATAGGTGGTGGATATTTTTCAGATCCCAGAAAAATAGAGGGGATTCAGAAAGTGGGGGCAGAAATCCTGATCCCACCACACATGTGAATGTACCAAATCATGTGGTGAGCCCCTTCTATATTTTGACTCATTTCTCTCTCATGCCAGTCTTTGGAGGGAAGAATTATCTCATTTTTCTCCCATTTTGTAACCGAGGAAATGGGGCAGAGAGGTTGTGTATCTTGCCTGTTGTAACAGCCCAAAAGGGCACAGGCTGATCTGGAACTCAGTGGGGTCTTCCCCAAAGCCCCCATTTTTCTGGCCACCTTCTGTTTTCACTCCTCTTCCTCTGCGTCCGTGAGCAGATGTGACTGCTGAGCTGGAGGGCATCTTCTCTGAGGGATTAAGGGGGAGTCTTGGTGAAAGGGTGGGAGGCGGGGGTTTGAGGAGGGAAACAGAGCAGCTGTAGAACCAGACAGTGAAGGTCACACCATTCTTCTTTCCCTCCTGCCACCAGCATCGCAGGGAAGAGAAGACAGTGCATGTGTTTTGGGCGGGGACACTTGGGGGCGGGTTCCACTGGCAAGTGTGCAGCAGTGGGGCCAGTCGGGTTCCACTAGCAAGCTTTCTAGTACATTGTGCGTCACGCCCTTTTCTCCTTTCTCTAATGTGCTCTTTATTATTCATCTGAATGTTTCTCTTCAGATGATTTTTTTACAATTTGATCAAAGCGGGTTTTTTTTTTCCCAAAAGCTTTACTTGGGTGGCCCTGCCGGGACATCTGCTCATGGCCGTTTTGAACCTTTCTCTCTGCACAACCACTTGATAGCCAACTTTCCCCAGGTTGTCTGAAGCCAAGGGAGGCCGAGAGAAGGATCGAAACAGCATATCTTCTTGAAACATTTTTAAAAGATGATTTATTTTTCCCTAGTGGTATTCAAAACTTTGGGATTCCAGATTATGAATCCAACTTGAAAACATATTTTTCTTCTTAGAAGGAAAAAACGCCCAAACAGACTTCTTTGTCCATGACCATTTCTACTTTTCGTTTTAATTAAAAATATTGGTATTTTGCCAGCTGTGTAACTCTGGACAAACTAGCACTCTGGACCTTTCAGTTTTATCATCTGTAAAATAGGATTTAAATAATTCCCATTTCCCTATGTTGTTGTGAGGATTACAGGAAATAATAACTTATACAGTAACTGATATACAGTTGAGAAGTTAACATCAATAATTAGATCTGCAGTTAGTTAAATCTGGGGATGTGGAATCTGGGATTATGGAGGGTCAAAAGTATTATTTGGGTTTCTCACAATGATATTTTATGTGTATTACACATATGTGGGTGTGTTTTAAATAATAATAAAGAACAAATTAAAAATATATCTAATCAGGACAAAAATTTAGACTCTCATTTCAAAAGGATCATCAGCTACAGGCATCTCGGGGTGAAAAGGATCATCTGTTTTATGGAAAAGAGGCTCAGTTCCACTGGGGACGTTCTGTGGCACCGTTACAGAATGTCTCTCAGAATTGCCCTTTGAGGGATGGAAGCTGGGCATTTATCCACTGACTTTTGTACCCTGTTGGTTGAGGGTTGTCCCGAAAGATGTTAATTTCCTCTGTGCCTCCCTGAGAGTGGGCAGGAACGCAGGGAATGATTCAGGCACTTGAAGTGGGATGCTGGCAGTGTGCAGAGGGATTGTCCACTGTGAGGGCAGCTGGAATCAGTCCAGGGCCAAGGGGAATATAACATGGAACACAAAAAGCATCTTCTAAAAGTCCCCTGGAGCCCCAAACAGAGAAGAACCCCAGAGATTGGAGGAGGCTTCTCGTCAGCAAACTTGAGTGCCCGAGGCCAGGAAACAGCGTTTGCACCTCCCTGATAATCCCTGTTATCTGGTGGCTCATGTCATGGAGAGTGTCCTCTGTGCTGGGCACCATGACAGTCCTGAGGTACAACAGCAAGTGAGCCAGTATCCCACCATCCATTTAGAGAAGCAGACATCAAATGATCAGATACAGTACAGAGGGAAGGGCTGTGCTTAGGGAGAAATAACATGTGATGGGAGCACATAGCTAGGGCATCCAGCCCATTGTGCAGCTTCCACGGGAGGCTTCCTGGGGGAGGTGGTGTCTCAGCTGAGACCTAAAAAATGAGAACAGGGAGGAAGGGGATGTTCCAGGCAGAAGAAAGAGCTGAGACCTAAAAAATGAGAACAGGGAGGAAGGGGATGTTCCAGGCAGAAGAAAGAGCAGTATCAAGTATGGAGACAGAGAGGGCCTGGCACTGTCCAGAGCTGAAAGAGGTTCAGCATGGTTTGAGCATTTCAGGCATTCAGACTTTCTCCAAAGAGGCTTTGAAGGATGTATGATCCACCCAGTGTGTGAAGACTGGGTTGCAGAGGAGCAGGAGTGGAGGCAAAGAGACCAATAAGCTGTCCTGGTAAAGTAGATGAGGCCAATGAGAAATGGATGATTCAAGAGATGTTTAGGAGGAAAAATTTGCCAGACTTGGATATGTGGGGCAGAAGAAAGGGTGGAATAGAGATCAGGCCCAGGCTTCTGGCTTGGGTATCTGGGTAGATGGTGCTGTCTTTCAGCAGCCTGGGAACAGAAGGAGAGGCATGTTTGGAGATGGGGAAGGTGGTGAGTAAATTATGAAGTGGAGAACTTCTATTTGACCTAGTGATCCCTTCCCCTCTCTCTCTCTGACTGCTAGAAATCTGTGGGCCACTTCTCTTCCGGCTCCATGACACTCTTCAAAGGGCTTCATACACCCAAGATGTTCTTTCATCCACTGTCCACGTTGTTTTGCGGGTTGGGACTGATGTTTTCACGGGTCTCAATCATTCTTTTTCTACTCTGTCCCATAGGCATCCTGGTTCTGGAGAAGGCTTCGTGGCAAGAGGCGGTTGGTGATGGTGTTCTGTCTCTTGATGACTCTGTCTGTGGTGGCTATCACCCGCTTCCCACTGCAGCGTCCAAGTGCTGGCCCAGCCCCTGGTCCTGTGGAGCCCCAGGGGGTAACCAGCATTCTTGCTCCCAATAGCCGGCAGGCTCTGAGCTCCAGTTGGAGGCAGCAGGCAAGAAACCTAAGGTTCCGGAGAGGCTGGGCTTTCCCTGGGAATTCCATCCTGGTGTGTGCTGCGGAGCAAGGCCACGGAGGGAGCATGGATAGCAGCAGGCAGTCCCCTGGCAGGGACAGTAGGCGTCCAGGGAGAGTCAGGAGGGATGTTACTTTGGCACCATCAGGAGATTTGAGACTTAGTACCCGGCATCTTGTGCTCCCAAGGGAGAATGAGGTCAGGAGTCCAGGAGCCAGAGACCTGGACCCCCCCTGGCATGACAGCCCTCTCTGGGAAGCACAGAATGAGACAGGCACCTCAGATGGCCCCCTTGCAGGGCGTGACACAGCAGCATTTCTGGCTTGGAGAACTACTGCTGGCCTTACCCTCTGGCCCCATCCAGTGGAAGGCGAGGATCTGCCAGGAGCAGGGAGCAGAACCTTGACTGGTGGACAACAAACAGGGGGTCCTGCACCGGCCACAGGGGCTCGTTGGTGGCCTGGCTCTGTTGGGGAGCTTCAAGGGTCCGTCTGGTGTGATGCTGAGCCCCCTGGACTGTTGAGCAGCTCAAGGACAGGCGGGCAGGTCCCCCCATGGCTCACAGAGCATGATGTGCAGACCCTCCAGCTGCTGGCCCAGGGGGAGGTGGTGGGCAAAGCCAGAGTCCCTGGCCATGGGCAGGTGCTGCAGGTCGGCTTCTCCACTAAGGGTGCCCTTCAGGATGTATCTCGTAGGCTCAGCCAGCTCTGCTCCCAGGGGCTCTGTGGCCTGATCAAGAGGCCTGGGGACCTGTTGGAAGTCCTGTCCTTCCACCTGGACCGTGTGCTGGGGCTGCACCGGAGCCTACCTGCTGTGGCCAGGAGCTTCCATAGCCCCCTGCTGCCCTACCGCTTCACAGATGGTGGCACGAGGCCCGTCATCTGGTGGGCACCAGACGTGCAGCACCTGGGTGACCCAGACGATGACCAGAACTCTCTGGCCTTGGGCTGGCTGCAGTACCAGGCCCTGCTGGCACATGGTTGCAGCCGGCCGGGCAAGGGTCCATGCCTGGACATCCCTCACGCCGAGTGGGCACGCCTGGCACTCTTCGACTTCTTGCTGCAGGTAGGTGGGGCCGGGCAGGGTAGTGGTGGGGAGCAGTGAGGTAGGGGATTCGGGGTGAATTGAGATGCCGGAATTGGCTACATGAGGATGGCTGGTGACTCTCCCCATAGTCTTTGGCTTTTGATCACCAAGCATCTGTTTTTATTTTTCTGCCTCTGTGTTTATTCATCCAGTGGTGTGCTGGCACCAGCTCCTATCAGCTTACAAGAGCTGCTTACTGAAATTTTCCAGAATTTTGTGACCTGGTTGTAAAACACAGGCATTATTCAAATTTAAATTATATGAACTAGCAAAATAATAAATTCTGTAGAAACAAAGGTAATAAATACTCCAAACTCCATCACTTCATAATTATTTTACATTTTACTATTATTTGAGCTCTTAAGTTTATTTGCATGCATCTAATAAATACTATATATTGCTGAGCTACTGCACATCTCTTGTTAACGCCACATTCAGCCATGCTGGTAACTTGAAATTGGCCAGGGTAGGAGTGCTTGTACCATGGGAATCAGCAGATGCTACAAATCAGGATTTCTCCCATTTTTGGAGGGCTGATTTGTTTTTTTGTTTGTTTGTTTTTTATTGAAGCACAGTTGATTTACAATGTGTTAGTTTCTTGTGTACAGGATGGTGACTCAGTTATACATATATATATTCTTTTTCATGATAGGCATTATAGGATTTACAAGCTGTTGAATGCACTTCCCTGTGCTATATTGTAGGACCTTGTTGTTTATTTGTTTTGCATGGAGTAGTTTGTATCTGCTAACCCCAAACCCAGAGAGCTGACTGTTAAACACTTATTAGCGCACTACTGCTTGCAATGTTTTATCCTTGAATCAAGAAGGACTCAAGATGGGTGTGTAATTTGAAAAAGAGAGTTCAGCCAGAGGAGAGAAAGAATGGGAAAGGGAGAGATAAAGGGATAATATTGATCAGCTTGGGCCCTGAAGAATGAGAAGGAAGCCCCAGCATCAGCTGAAGTTCCTGCTGCGCCAGGAGTTAACTCTGGAGTTTCCGAGGGTCCTAGGAAAGGGGGTTGGGTGATCAGGGCACAAGGGTTAAAAGGGGGACTGCAGGCATCAGCTATTTACTAACTGGCCTGTTAGCAACCAGTGTGACTGTTCCAGGGCCTGTGAGCTGGATGTCAGCCACAGAGACATGGATAGGAAAAATGTGACCAGAAAGAAACAAAGACAAAAAAATTATTGAAGTGCAAAGTCGGTGGATATGTGAATTAAATGTATACTAAGCCAGCCTCCATTTCTTCAGGGACCCCTATTGAGAAAAGAGATCAACACTAGCCCTAAATTTACCTCCTGGGATGAGTGAATGAGTCTTAGGACAAGTTCTAGGCCACAACCATGTAGCCAGGGGCTGATATTCTCTGTTTGGTCCATACAAGATAGGTTTGAAATGCATTTTAGAAAATTCTTAGATCACTTTTGATACTTTAGAAATTCCCTATGAAAATCCTGCTTCCTTTGAAACATTGGATAATTCATTCTAATCAGGAATCAACCTGCATAGCTGCTATCCCCTTTAAAGGCTGCCAAACTCTCCTTTTGGCCAAAGATCATGCTTCCTTATTGTCTGACAGCCATCCACAAATACGGATGTTACCTGTCTGCCTGTGGATGTTTGTCTCCAGACACTGGGCTAGCTGGTCTTCTGTGATATTTCCAGCTCCTCTAGGCTGTGTCTCATGGCTGCTTTGTGGAGGGAGGAGCATGAGGCCTGGTGGTTGGCATGTGCTTTGGTATCAGACAGACCTGGATTTGAACCCCCCGCCCGCAGGCCACTTCCCACTATGTGACATTGAGCCAATTACTTTGCCTCTCTGAGCTTCACTTCTCCCACCTCTAAGTGGGACTGAGTGTCCCGATCTCATGCTCTTGGGCCTGACCATTTTAGCACTTGGTAGCTCCTGATTGCCAGCACCTGCATCTGCAGGCTTGCTCTGGGCCCTGAGCCTGCTCTGTCCAGTGTGTGACAGGCTGAGGGACAAGGATTAATGCCATCCCAATAGTGTGACCAGCCATGCAGTTTGGGATGGAGGAGTTTCCCAGACCGCAGACTTACAGTCCTAGGTGCACTGGGAGAGCTGGTCATGCTCCTTCCAGGAGCAGCCCTCCTGTGACTGATGGGAGCTGGTGTGTAAAAGCCCCAGCTCCCTGGCTGGGGTATCTCTGTGGTGCATATTCCACGTGTCTCTCAGAGTTCCCTCCTAGGACTGAGCCCATTACCCACAGTGGTCTTTGCTGGCCTTCCATGTCTTACTTCTCCTCTCCTTGCTTGTGTTTTGAAGTAGCTCGCGAATAAACTGCTTTCACTTGAATTCTTGTTTCGAGGGAGCCTGGCCTCCATCAGGTGACGTCACTGACCTTGTGTGGTTCTACATGCAAGTTCATTCACATGATGTACTTAATACAGTGCTGGCGGTGGCCCAAGATCAGTAATAAACAGGCACTGTCCCCAGCACTTTACAGGAATTAGCTCATCTAATCCTCATGGCAATTTTACTAGGGAGATACTACATTTCTCCATATTTTAAAGTTGAACAGTTGAGGCCTAGAGAGGTTAAGTTACTTGCCCAGGGTCATGCCTGGTGGAACTGAGACACAGTCTGGGCAGTCTGACTCTGGAGCTCACCCTCTTACTCAGAGTCCTCTTCAGCTGGCCATGAATGAGGGCGAGAAAAGGGGATGCCTGCAGGGATGCCCCGAGGCCTTGAGCTTAGAGGCCTCTCCTTGCAAAGCCCCGGTCTCTCTGGTGTGCATTCAGCAGCTTTCTGCCCACACAGAGCCCCTCTGTCTGTCTCTGGAGGTTGCGCTGTGGGGCCCTTCCGCAGCTGCCAAGCCCTGCCGTGGGGATGGAAGGTTCAGCAGCCAAAGCACACGCAGGTTGTGGGTGTGGTCAGAAGCAACTCAGCTGGCCTCGTGCCACCTCTTCCTTGGTCTGCTGAACACAGGCAAGTCTAATACCCGTCTGGCGGATGCCGACTTCCTAGAAACCACGGGCAAGTTGGAGAGAGGTGGGGCTGTTGGTTTCCCA